TTTCAACATGTGGGACATAGGGACATTCAAAATCTAATCTATAGAGCATTTTTCTTATTCCAAAATATTGGAACCATGAAATGTGAGTTTTTGGTGACCCAAGAGGTATTTTTTGACCCTCCCTCCCCCAGAAAGATGATACAGGGTTTATTTTGGCTTTAAAATTAATAATCAAGAGAACCCTGTGCTGCACCAACAGCCAGAGGCCCCCTCCCCTGCCCAGCAGCCCCAGGGACCTGTTTTCTGTCTTGCCAAGGGCTTGAATGTCTGTGCCCTCTGAGACTCAGCCAGTTGCAACTGGGGGAGTGTCAGAGCTGCCCCCCCCCCCAGTGGCCAGGGATCAGGCTCCACCCTAGCCCTTCCTGCCTCCTGCCAGGCTAAGGCACTGGGAGAAGGCCCTAACAGGCGTGGCACCTTCATTTTGGACTTCCCAGCCTCCCGATCTTACAGCCTCAAAAATGAACAAAGACCATGGATTGGATTTGTCTATCCTGTGCCCTTCAGGTGAAGGGAACCATGTACCGCGGGGTCCTTCCTGGGTGGCTCTTCCAGGGACACAGGTTTCATAGAGTTGTGGCACGTGGCAGGGCCCGCTGCTCCTCTGGAGTAGGGCTGCAGACGCCGTCCGCCTCGTGGTTGCTTGTCTTCGCCTCTTGGTTTCTCTTGGGCATACTCCTGCAGGGAAGGACTATGTGTGTTCAGTGAGAAAACACCGTACAGTCACTCAGGGGGACGTGTGTGTCATCAACCAGCAGTGCTCAATTCTTTATATAATTCTTTTTTTTTTCCTTCTAAAATAGGGAGAACTGGACATTAAATATTGAATAAAGTGCTCAGTTAAATACGTTCTCTATTTGATACAGCACAAATGGGTCCCTTCTCGGCTTCTAATAAACGCATACATTTATAGAGATGCCATGAAACATCTTTTATTTTATCTGATGTAAGAATGTTCTTAGAATAAAGTTTTCTGATGACTGAAAAAAGAATTAATAATCACTTTTTAAACCTACAAATTTAGTTTTTGAATTCAGCTTATAGCTTATTACTCTATGTCAATATACTTACTTAACAATCCCTTTTAAGACTGCCTTTGGATAATGTTTTTGTTTACAAACTAATTCTATTCTTCCTTACATTTAACTTTTTAAGATTAAATATTATGAGTTTTAAAGTACTTTAGTTGTCTGATAACAAAACTTTTCTGAAGATTTAAATTATAAACCTATAAAATTTTAAATATGCTGATGATTCTTACATTCTCAAATGTTCTGATATTATATGTAATTTTAGGAGGATTTTTATTTAAAATTTTGTCTGGGTCAATTACTCCATGAACAATTACTTAAACAAACTGCAAACTCATATTCCTTCTAATCCTACTGGAAAAATGACCTCTGAAGTTGTAGTAATATAGACAAATAAATGATATATCTTTATAATTAGAATGAGAATCATTCAAGTTGTATATCCCTAAGATACGCAAATAACTCAGGAACCTCCAACATTCTTTAAATGGAAAATGTATTTATATATCTTAGGAGACAATCTCATGGACCCTAAAAGAATAAAAAGGAGTATTATGAACAACTCTGGGCCACAAAATTTGGTAACTTATGGGAAATGAATCAATTGTTTGAAAGAAACGAACTATCAAAACATAAAAGGGAAAATAGATAACCTAAATAGCCCTACTTTTTGTTTGAAAAGATTGAATCAGTGATGAATAACTTCCCTCCAAAGAAAGCTCCAGGACTAGAGAATTCTAGCAAATATCAGAGGAAGAAATGATTTCAATTTTCCATAATCTTTTCCAGAAAAATGGAAGCATAGGGAAAACTTCCTAACTCATTCTGTGAAACCATACTTACCCTAATATCAAAACCAGACAGTGAGATTACAAGAAAACAATGTCTCTACTTAACATAGATGCAAAAAGTTTCAACAAAGTATTAGCAAGTGGAATACATCGACATATAAAAAGAATTATAAACCATGATCAGTTGGGATTCATTCCAGGATAGCAAAGTTAGTTCCACATATGAAAATCAATCCATGCAATTCACTGTATCAACAGGCTAACCCAAGAAGAAAAATCAAAAAATTGCATCATTTGATAGAGAAAAGGCATTTGACAGAGTCCAGCACCCATTCATGATAAAAGCTCAACAAACCAGGAGAACAGGGGAAATTTCTCTGCTTGATAGAGAACATTTGTAAAATTCCTGAAACTTATGTACATGTGGTGAGACTTGATGTTTTTCCCTGAAGTTTGGAGCAAGACAAGGATGTTCTTTTTCACCACTCCTATTTAGCAGTCTATTAGAAGTCCTAGCTAGTATGATAGATGAGACAAGGAAATAAAAGGTATACAGAGTAGAAAGGAAGAAATAAAATTGTCTATTCACAGATGATTTTATTGTCTATGTAGAAAAATCCCAGAGCATCGATACAAAGACTCTTAGAACTAAAAAAGCAAGCATAGCAGCAGCATTGCAAGATATAAAATAAAAGTCAGTTTCTTTGCTGTACAACAGTAATGAACAATTGGCCTTGGGGAAAGCAAACAAACATACAAACCACCCACAAACCTTTTTTTTTTTTTACAATGGTATTCAAAAAAATGACATACTTAGATCTAAATCTACAAACTGTATATGTCTATGTGCTGAAAACCACAAAACACTGATGAAAGAAATCAAAGGTCTCAGTAAATGGAGAGATGTTCTGTGTTCATGCCTAGATTGTTAATATAATAGATTGACCTATAGATTTGGTGCAATCATAATTAAATCCTGCAAGCTTTGTTGTGGGTACCAGCAAATTCATTCTCAAGTTTATATGGAAAGGCGAAGGAACTAGGATAGCGAACATTCCACTGAGGAGGAACAAAGTTGGAGGACCTCATACTACTCAATTTCAAGGTTTACGGAGCAGCTACACTGATTAAAGCAAGGCAGTGGAATACTATTCACCCATAAAAATGAAATTCTATCATTTTCAACAGCATGGATGAACTTGTAGGAAATTACATGAAGTGAAATAAGCCAGGCACAGAAGAAATATACTGCATGATCTCACTCCTATGTGGAATCTAAAAACGTTGATCTCATAGAAGTTGAGTATAGAATAGTGATGACCAGAGGCTGGGGAGAGCGTGGGGGATTGGGGATGAGGAGAGTTTGGCCAGTGGATACAAAGTTACAGTTAGATGGGAGGAATAACTTTGAATATCCTATTGCATAATAGGGTGACTATAGTTAGCAGCAGTCTATAGTATATTTTGAAATAGCTAGGAAAGAGAAGTTTGAATATTTTCACTATAAAGAAAAGATAAATATTGGAAGCAATGGATGTGCTAATTGCCCTGATTTGATCATTACGTAATGCACACACACATCAAAGTGTCATACTGGGCCCCATAAATGCATACAATTATCGTACATCAATTAAAAATAGAATAAAACTTATAAAAATAACCAAGACTAGAAATCATGGTATTCAAGAAAGGATAAACATGGAGCAGAACACAGACCCCAGAAGTAGATCTGCACAATTAATCAACTGATCTTTGGCAAATTCAAGGCAATTCAGTGGAGAGAGTATAGTCTTCATTTTTTTGGCAAATGCTCCTGGAACAAATGGATGTCAAAGAACTTACACTTTTTGAGCAGTTGATTTTGAGCTGTGATTTGTTTGTTTTTGTAGTACTGGGAATGAAAACTAGGGCTATGAGTATGCTAGGCAAGCATACTACCCTGAGTTATACCCTAGGCCCCAGGAGTTTTAAATTTGAGATTTTAATTAGTTTATATATATGTAGTATTAGGACATTTAGTAGAATTTAAGTTATATACATATTTATTTATTTATTATATGTTTTAGTTGTAGATAGATGCCATACTTTTATTTATTTATTTTTATGTGGTACTGAGGATCAAACCCAGTGCCTCACACGTGCTAGGCAAGTGCTCTACCTCTGAGCCACAACACTAGCTCCAAGATATATACATATTTATAAGTTTTTCAGATATAAGGATAGCTTCAAGTTCATAGGAAAATTTGTTAGTTAAATACAATTGGTACTTAAAAAAGTAAATTGGTATATGAAATTTATAAATTCAGTTTTAAATCTTTAAACATTAGAATCAATATGATCCAAATGTTATTAAAAGTGATAGTTAAAATAGAAGAATGATATTTGTAAGCTGAACTTAAAAACTTAAGGAATAATGAAGTGCCTGTGTTATTGGGTGCTTAAAATTGGGCCGCTCAAAATCTTTGGTTCGTGACATATTCTGCTTATTTATCCTTGCTTGATGTTTACTTGGTTGGTACTTTAATAAAACTGAACCCACTTAATATTATTTTAAAGACAAAGTAAACTTTTTATTTCAAAACTGCCTATGAGCATCTAAAAAATAAAAACTCACATATTCATAGGTTGGAGTGGGATGTGTCTAGGCCTAAAATATGTTTCTGGGTATAAAAATGGCTATTCACAAGCAGTCAGATGTAGCTTATTTATTAAAGGCAGGACATTTGGACATTTGAGTAATTAAAAAAAATAGATGAAGTGGAAAAATACTCTTCAGATGAGGCTAATTCTGTGAAAGGTCAAGAGAGGAAATTTAAGATGAGTTCTCTACTAAATGTCATGGAGTGGTTCCTGACACACAGGGACCCCCAAAGTGCTACCTATGGTGAGTAGACTAATGAGATGAATTAGGGCCGTTTAAGTGAAAATATTGCACGGGCAACTATAGATGCAATACCAGCACTCCTGGCGAAATGCGACGTGGGACAATGAGGTGGGACCATGGTTTAAAGCCAAAACCTGAAGCATTGAGGATAGTGCCAGCTTCCATGGGGGAAGTGAGGTGAGGAGAACAGACAGAGGAAAAGTCTGTTTTCTTCCACATCTTTTACCCTTTGTATAACCTCTTTGTTTCCTTTCTTCCTCTCCTGGGATGGGGTGGAAATGTTTCCTTTTGGATTAGAAAATCACCTGTAGACCAAGAATCACCTTGTCACAGAGAGATTCCTTGGAGGACCTCCAAGCTGTTACAGACACATCTGAAAGTACATCTGTGTTACATCTTATATATATACGTGAGTGTATATATGTATATGTGCAATGTGTCTATATATGTGTGTGTGTGTGTATATACACATAATTCATTTCACACCCAATGGTAAACTGCAATTGTTTACTTCGGGCTCCCTGTCACACAGTAGGTACTTAAATATTAGTAGAATGAATGAAGGTTGTAACTAGATGATTTTTTTTTTTTTTTACAAAATGTCTTTTTTTTTTTTTTTTTTTTTAGTTGTGGTTGGACACAATGCCTTTATTTTATTTATTTTTATGTGGTGAGGAGGACTGAACCCAGTGCCTCGCATGTGTTAGGTGAGTGCTCTACCTCTGAGCCACAACTCTAGCCTCTGGATGATTCTTTTATGAAAGTGCCACCAATTTTGTCAATTCTCTTAAGCCTCAGTAAAATAAATTTCGGTTTTACAAGGGTTGGTAACGTGTCTGAGTAACTTGGGTTACAGTAAATAAACCTATTCTGGCATGGGCCCTCTGAGGTTAGACCAAGCCATAGTGTAGTACCCTAGCAGAGTTCCTTACCTTTACTAAGGTGCTATATTTGAAGAGCACTGCAGCTATGATTTAAGGGTAAATATTGAGGATTAGATAGTTGTGTAAACTTTCAGAATGGTATGTGTTCAGAGGCACAGAAGGTGAGTGAGCATCTTGTTCCTTTTTACAGAGAGAAAGATGAAAGCCAATAATAACGTGCCCAAGATCTCCTTCCAAGTGAGGGCCAGACTGGAATTAGAACTCAGTCTTGTGTGACTCCAGAATGCTAGTTTTTTAAAAATGAACTTCTTGTGTAGCATCTTTAGGTAGTGAGTGTGAAGATCCCGAAAGAGGCTTTCCTTCTCATTTTTAAGCACCCTAACTCTTTCTTGAAGAAATCTATCCAGGAAGTGTATTTGATGTATTGATTGTGGATGGCATTCGATAATAACATTGTTTCTATTTATGAAACTCACCATTGTCTTCCTCCTTTCTCTTACTCCACGATAGCAGAATACCTGAGACGAGTGAATCATAAAGAAAAGAAGTTCATTTAGGCTTATGGTTCTGGAGGCTGGAAAGTCCAAGATTGGGTGGCAGAATCTGATGAGGACCATGTGCTACTTCACAACGTGGCGAACTTGGCAGGGTAAGGAGGGACATTCAGAAACAAGCAGGAGAAGCTTTCCTGGTAACTAACCTGGAGCTCACTTGCCATCTCAGGAATTAACCCAGTCCCCAATCACCTCTTAGAGGCACCACTTCCTGACACTGCCACAATGACATCAGATTCCTACATGAGTTTCAGAGGGAACCAACCTTTCTCAGACCATGACAATCATATTTATCAGTGTTTTAGTTTATAAATAAGCACGTTCATCACAGGCAAAATACAATATTTACCAGTATGTGAGTGCAGTCACCTGAAAACTTTCAACTTTATATACATTTAGCTATAAATCAAATAACTACAAATCAAATAACTTGTCCAAATCAAAGGATGTAGGATAAATTCAGCCAACAATGACATACTCAGATCCAAGGACCTGAGATAACCTCCATATTTTTTAACTAAAAAAATAAACCACTTGGCACTTTTGGTTGACTTGGTCAAGGCTAGTTAATAATTTTCATCATTTTTAGTGAGGTTAAGTGTTATCTTCATTTTATATATACACTGAAGGATTAGTGGATTATATCTCTTATATAAGTAGTGCTATAAGTGAGGTAATAGCGATGAAAATTTGCTGAATCTATGGATTTTTTTTTCTCGAGCAGGACATAATCTCAACAGTTTAAATGAGGTATAGTTAACATACAGTAAATTGTACATATGTAGTGCCGCAGTCTGGCTGGGCACAAAATCACGAGCCACTCACAGCCTTGTAGATTCAAACAGCAATTCTTTATTTTCTGAACTCACATCGGCCTCTACACACAAAGTTCTGGGGAAATTCACGTTCTGCGCCAAATCCACATTCTGAATCCCAAATACTCTGGGAGCAGGCGTGCCTGAGGCAGCAGGATACGCCCCATTCCCAGCAGGGTACACCTTAAACCTGGAACTGCCCTTAAACCCAAGGAGCGGGATACTCCCTATTCCCAGCAGGAGACACCCTAAATCTGGATCCGCCCTAATCCAGTAGGATCCTCCTTAAACCCGGATCCACCCTGGTCCTTGAGCAGGGTCACCTTTCTCAAACATACATGCAATGTCACTGCAAATGTCCAAGGCAAGTCCATTTCCACGAGTCCTTCCTCTAAGCAACATGGGGTACGCTGGCAAGGAAATTGTCATACCTACTTGGCTAATGGCTCTCAGCAATGTAGTGTAAAAATTGATATTTTAACACATGCATATACATGTTAAAACTATCACCACAATCAAGAATATAAATCTACTATTCCTCAAAACTTTTGTGGACTCCTTGGTAATTCCTCCTTCTCATTCTTTTTGCCCCTCAATTGCCAGGTAACCGCTATATCTTTCTGTCACTTTTTCTAGGATTTTATGTAAATTGTAACACACAGTATATATTGTTTTCTTTCAGAGTGATTATTTTGTAATCCATTGATGTTGTTGAATGTATAATTAGTTCATTCCTCTTTATTGCTGGGAAATAGCCCATCATATGGTTATGTTATAATTTGTTTATTCATTCTCATGATGATGGACATTTGAATTATTTCCAGTTTTTTTTTTTGCTATCACCAAAAAAGCAGCTATAAATTTTTCTGTACAAGTCGTTGAATGAGTGTATATTATTTTTTTTTTCCTCTTGTATCAAAATCTAGGAAAGAATAGCTGGATCCACTTAGGTGTATGTTTAACATATTAGAAATCATCAAACTGTTTTCTAAAGTGATTGTGTCACTCTGCATTCATACCAACAGCAGATGAGGTTCCAATTGCTCTGCTTCCTTGCCAACCCAGGGTGTGCTCAGTCTTTTAAATTTTAGACATTCTAATAGACGTGACATGTACCTTATGATTTAAATTTGCAATTGCTGAGATTAGCAATGTTGAGGATCTTTATATGGGTTTATTTTCCAGTTGTCTCTTTTCTTTGATAAGGTGTCTATTCAAAATTTTTTCTGTTTTTTTTTTGGTTTTCTTTTGTTGTTTTATTATTGAGTTCTTTGTATGTTCTTCATCATACATATAATTTACAAATATTTTTGTAAATTTATGGCTTGTCTTTTCATTCTCATCAAAATTAAAAACTTCTGTTCTTCAAAAGATTGTCTAGTTTTGAATTATTGATTTTTCTTTGATGGGCTGTGTGTTTGGTGTTATGTCTAAAAATCTTTGCCTCACCTAGAATCACAAAGTATGATTTCATGTTTTACATTTAGATCTGTTTCATTTTGAGGTAGTGTTTATAAATGATTTAACATATGATCAAAGTTTATTTATTTTTTTTTTGCATGTGGGTATATATTCCAGTCCCATTTGTGAAAATCTATCATTACTTCTTTGACTCGTTTGTGTACTTTTGCCAAAAATCAATTGTTCCTACGTCTGTGGATCTGTTTCTGGCCTCTCCATCCTGTTTCTGTGACCTATTTGTTCATCTTTTATTTTGGTACTGGGGATTGAACTCAGGGGCACTCAGCCACTGAGCCACATCCGCAGCCCAATTTTTTATTTTATTTAGAGACAGGGTCTCACTGAGTTGCTTAGTGCCTTGCCATTGCTGAGGCTGGCTTTGAACTTGAGATCCTCCTACCTCAGCCTCCCAAGCCACTGAGATTACAGGCATGTGCTACCATACTGGACGTATTTGTCTATCTTTATGCCCCTTGATAACTATAGCTTTATAATAAGTCTTAAAATCAAGGAGTATAATTCCTTCAGCATTGTTCCTTTTTCAAAGTTGCTTTAGGTATTCTAGGTCTTTTGCATTTCCATACGAATTTTAGGATCATATTTCCAGTTTCTAAAGGAAAGTTGGCTTTTGGCTATTATAAAAATTGTATTTTGATTTGGATTGCATTGAATCTATGTAGATAATTTAACTGATGTCTCAACAAAGTCGAGTCTTCTGAGGTTGCTTATAAATCTACCTAACTTGACACAACAGCAGAGAAAACCACTGCCAGAATTTCTGAGCCATGGAACTCCCACTCAGTCGTCCATGGGTGACAGTGTTTAGACCGAGCAAGATGTCAGTGTCATGTCATATAATAAATTCTACACCAGTAAGCTTAATTCCCTGTCTTCTAAAAAAACAAAAATAAGCATAAAATCAAGTTCTAAATTTTTCTTCTCATACTTCAGTGGATCCATTTGTTCCCTATTGGGGAGAGCACTGGTAAAATGCCTTTCTATCGCTAATGTGCTATGACAGAAAGAAATGTATTTTCCCCTGCTCATTACAAACAGTCCAAATTACATTGTGTTCAGTGATTATTGCATTTGGTCCTCAAGACAACACCTCGTACCCTCTAGGACTTGGAGAAGAGATGAGATAATAGGCAACATCTGGCCGTCTAGCAAGTAGAGCTTGACACAGCGTTAGCAACAAGACACAGCTAAGACTTTTTTTAGCCATATTGCTCTGATTGTTATTTGTTGATGAAAGCTGTGGGAAGGAATGGCAATGCATATAAACAGGAGAGATTTAGTCATAATTTAAGCTTCTTTAGAAAATGCAAACGGCAAAAATCATTTCCAAAGTATTCAAACCACCTATGACTAATCACAGGATGACCAATGTTACCCTTGTGAAGTGGTAATCAAGTGCCTTAGAGATATTTCCCCTCTAATTTTGAGCATTTTAAAGCAATATGACGGCATGATTCAGATTTTCCTAGTGCAGGTGTCCACAGTGTTTCCAAATTTATGATATTTTGGAGCCGACACATTTTTCCCTATGGACTTTGATGGCCCACACTAAGTAGATTCAGCAAGGTGGGGCTGTGGGTTGCTAGGCAGTCCCTCTACTCATCTCTTGCCGGATCCTTTTGTTGTTAGCCGTGGCAGCTATTCAAAACCTTTACATTCATTAACCTCCAGTAAATGTTTTTATTTCATTTTTAAAAATATTTTTCTTTCAGTTGTAGATGGACACAATGACTTCATTTTATCTATTTATCGACCCCAGTGCCTCACACATGTGAGGTGAGCACTTGATCACTGAGCTACAACCCCAGCTCTCCAGTGAATATCAACTGCGAGAAGACTGTACTCTCACCTCCTTTCCATGTCTTCTTTATTCTTAGCAGATCAATCAACTTTCAATAAAACTTCCCCCTTTTACTTCCAAATGTCCATATCCTCATATCTTCCCTTCCGTCCTTCCCATCTCTCAGGAAGAGGCATCCTTTCTAAATTTGTTCTTACCTCCTTATTTTCATCCCTACTGATCTTCCTGGGTCACCAGAGTTTGTTTAGATAGTCGAGATAGTCTGTTGAGATAGTTTAGATAGTCTGCTTCCTTTGATTTCCAATCCTACGAACTGGACCCATCTTTCCAGAATACAAATCTGATGTTATCTCCCTGCCTACTCCCCCCTCCCACTCCCACACACTTAAACCCTTCAGGGGTCACTGTTACTCTTATCGTATCCTAAGAAAAAATTCTTCCATGTGGCCTGCAAATCCGTACAATATGACTTTTGCCTAAACCTCCTTGTTGCTCACTCCTCTTTTCTCTGCTCTAGATTTACTGAACTTTTAATTGTTCAAACACATCTTGGACTTTATCCTAAAAACAGGGCCTTGCATGAGCTCTTCCCTCTTAGTGCTTTAGCTCAAGCATCATTTCTGTAGGGAATTGTTCCCCAGCAAGGTCCAATTCTTCCAGTGTAGATGCCATGGCTTGGCTAGAACTTATCATAATCGCCACTCTTCATTTGTTTTAGTTTTTAAATGAAATAAACTAATTAAATAAATAAGCTAAATGAGCTTATTTGATTAATGTTGATGTCCCTCACTAAGCTGTCAACTCCATAAAGACAGGGACTTGTCTTACTGTACTCATCATTTAACATCCGAGGCTGGTCCGGTGTCTGGTAATTCAGAGATGTGCAGAAAGTAATTGTAAGCTGAAGGTCACCAAAGATCTTCAAATGGTCATGTTTAATATCTCCCCTTTCATGGATCTTATTCTCTTTGAACTCTACCATCTTGGATAATGCTATCCACCCCATCCTTGAAATCCCTTCCATTCTTCGTCTATTAACTCTCCTTTATCTTTTATTACTCTTCTCTATTCTTCTTTGTCTTTTTTATCACGTTTTAATAACTTCATTTTACATAATAAATACATTTTAGGTGGATGAATGAATGAACAAGTGAAATATTAGTTTTTTCAAGGGTTCTGTCATTGATCTTTTCTCTATTTCTTCCTTGTTCTTTTCCTTGATAATCTTAACCAATACCATGACTTCACCATCATCCATATTTTGGTCTAGATTTATATTTCCAACTAAATATCTTCATAGAGTTGTCTTATCCTATAGTACCTTCATCTCAACTCAACTTAACCCAAAGTTGTTTTCTTCATTTAAAAACATTTAATGTTTTCCATTATCCACTCTTAGTAGTGGTCTTGACTACCCAATTGGAGGCCTAAGCCCAAGACCATATTTTCCCCTCTTCTACCAGCACTAAATTCTTTTCATGCAAATGAAATGTATCTTTCCAAAATTACCATCATATTCCCTAATCACTACTGCCTAGTTCTGTAGTTCTCAAACTTTTTCTTTTTAAAAGGAGAATTTCTTCATAGAGAATTATACAAGGCAGATGAAGGGGAGGTGCTATTTGTGGTGGGGGAAGGGATCCTGAAGCATATCCTTACCTAATCCAGTGATACCAGAAGATGCTGTGGTTTGAAAACCACTACCTATGTGACTGCAACCGTCCTTTATAAACCAGCTTTGAATTTTATTCATAGGTGAGACACAGAAATAATACTTAAGAGAGTTACTGTAAAAACTAAAGATAAGGCCCCGGGCATGTGGTACACGGTCAGACAGTGCCACCTATAATCCCTTTAATTTCTTATGATCTTTAAACTAACTTC